CGTTTTCCTTTTAAAATATGGATGTCATTGAAGGTAAATAAAATACATTTTTTTAAATATTTATTTTTTTGTAAACAGCTAATTAAAAACAGCGAAGGCTAGGGAAATCCAATCATTTTTAACGCCGTGTTAACTTGAAACCGCAGCCGATTCAAATTACTCGCACGTAACACAAACATATTTTTTAAACAAATTTAGTTTAAAAATACAACTTTTCTATTCAATTTTAGTAGTACGTTGCCACAGCCAAAGAAAAAAAAAAACAGGCTGCTGGAAAGTATTTTTTTAATAATAGGTTTTAGATAAAGGTGCACTCAACATTGGACAATGCACGTAAGGCCAATGCCCTGCTGTGGTCAAACCACCTATGGTCTAACCACCTATGGTAAAACCACCTATGGTCTAACCAGCTATGGTCAAACCATCTATGCTCAAATCATCTATGGTCTAACCACCTATGGTCAAACCACCTGTGGTCTAACCATCTATAGTCTAACCACCTATGGTCAAACCACCTGTGGTCTAACCATCTATGGTCTAACCAACTATGGTCAAACCACCTGTGGTCTAACCACCTATGGTCTAACCATCTATGGTCTAACCACCTATAGACAAACCACCTATGGTTAAACCACCTATGGTCAAACCACCTATGGTCAAACTACCTATGGTAAAACCACCTATGGTCTAACCATCTATGGTGAAACCATCTATGATGAAATCATATATGGTCAAATCACCTATGGTCTAACCACCTATGGTCTAACCAACTATGGTCTAACCAACTATGGTTAAACCACCTGTGGTCTAACCTCCTATGGTCAAACCACCTATGGTCTAACCATCTATGGTCAAACCACTTATGGTCTAACCACATATGATCTAACCACCTATGGTCTAACCACCTATGGTCTAATCACCTATGGTCAAACCACCTATGGTCTAACCACCTATAGTCTAACCACCTATGGTCAAACCACCTGTGGTCTAACCAACTATGGTCAAACCACCTGTGGTCTAACCATCTATGGTCTAACCACCTATGATCTAACCATCTATACTCAAACTATCTATGGTCAAAACACCTGTGGCCAAATTTCCGCGTATCGATAATAACAAAATTCATCAAAATACAAAAATGGTTTTAATCTAACAAAGACTTATAAATCTCTGATTCGTTTTTTTTTTCGCACGATGTGTATGTTTGAGCAAATTAGTATGTAACCACTCCACACGTCCATATTGAACTTTTGGTACACGAGAATCGTTATGTGGACATACACAGTAAATAAACTATATTGGTGTGTTACAAGTGTAGTATTGGGTTCGTCTAGCCTTGACTGGTGAAAGTGTCTTTTGCCCACATACATACTTAGGGCTGTTTACACATACATCTAGTGGCGTAGGCAGGGTGCGGGTTAAGGAAGGACCGTATGAATTTACATATAGAAATATGTAGGAGTGGGGTGGATTAACAGTGAGCCAGATGGCGTTTCAATAGAATCAACAAGGTGGTTGTGTGTCTTTAGGCTATGAACACAATGCATAGTGAAACCTGGGTCTTATAACCAACGACGAATTTCATCAAGTGAATGAATGAATACTACAGGGTTGTTATAAGGACCAGTGATAGCTGGGACCTGACTGTTTATAACTTGACAAACTGACGTTTATTGCCTGGGCACCTTTGTATGACGTAAGATGGTTAAGGAAACTGCTACCAGCTGCACTAGGGTGTTTATATACACACATACATACCTACATACATACATACATAAACAACGCACATACATATACACACACTCACATACATAGATGCAAAAATACATATACATACATACACACACACACACACACATATATATATATATATATATATATATATATATATATATATATATATATATATATATATATATATATATATATATTAGAAAGATGGGTTATGCACCTAGGTTATGCATATAGACACAAAATATATTCTATTATGTAGAATTGTATAGGCGTGCACAGTAATTAGCCACAGAGAGAGGGAGAGAGCGGTGGGATTGGCAAGATGAATAGACAACCAGGTTGGAAACATGAGACTGTGGTTGTGTGAACCAGCGAGACAGGTCTGCAGGGAAGACAGGTCAGGGAAGACAGGTCAGGGAAGACAGGTGTCTGTAAAGACAGGTCAGCAGGAACAGGTTCAGTCAACCGGTGCTGGAGACACCAGACTAGCGACATGGGGGGAGGGGGTGGCGGAGGGGGGGGGGGGGGGGTTAAAAAGGGGTTAAACAGAATTACATGGGGGACGGGGGATGGGGGATGACGGTGGATGGGAGAATACGGTGGATGGGGGATGACGATGGATGGGGGATGACGGTGGATGGGGGATGACGGTGGATGGGGGATGATGGGGGATGGGGGAAGACGGTGGATGGAGTATCGCGGTGGATGGGGGATGACGGTGGATGGGGGATGACGGTGGATGGGGGATGACGGTGGGTGGGGGATCACGGTGGACGGGGGAGGGGGGACATCAAGAAATGGTCGAAAAAGAACGAGCGATCCGGGTGTGACATGAACACCTATAGAGGTCTTGGTGTTTTACATCTGATAGCCTAAAGTGTGCTACCAGCGTTATGCTTGTGCTGCATTGTTACCATGTACGTGTTATCGATTAGCCGTACCCACAAGATGTGACGTGCAGGTCTGTAGGTGTGTGCGTGCTTAATACCTGAAGTTTCACCTGTATCACTGACATCATGCACTGAATGCATTACTTGTAACGTCGATTACAAAGCATTAATATATTGTAACCGATTACCGGTATTCCAATATTCATACACGTGGTATCGCGGAGCTGTGCCTCTATGTATCACATACACTTGTTATCCCTTTGGACATTAGTATTTTAATAATCGATTACTGTTAGTTGAATATTTCGTTATTGGTTATTTGTTGATACACATCTAATACTACTATTTTTATCCAACATATAGAACAAGCTGTTCTTAAAATTGTGAAAGGTGTCGAACCGCACCAATTTCATGTGGGTATTCATCGAAACCTTCTTAATAGTTCTATCATCCGCACTGACAAAAAAATTCTGATCGTGAATCATATGAATCAGGTGTGTCTTGTACCCCTGAGACTGCATCACCGAACCCCTGGGGTTCGACCGAACCCAGGTTAAGAACCACTACTATAGATCTAACAAGAATCAAGACTAACAACACGATGCAATATATTGTAAGTGCGAAAATATGAGAACAGAAATCAGATTCAAGAAGTGCTGCAACGACTGTAACGGTCGCCTCGACAGGCAGGCCTAAATCTAAATGTTCGGCGTTTCAAGTCGAATTGACATTCGGTGACCTAGTTTTGAGACGGGAGAGTAAACAAGGCAATACAGGTCTGTCTCGATGTAACTTCGGGCTGTGACCTATTTACTCGTGTGACCTATATACTATTTTTAAGTTATGCATACAAGCAAACGTATTTTAATTCAATAAAAAGTGACAATCAAGAATAATTCCGTTGTTTCGATTTAGTTTTCAACTTTGCTTAGCAAAAGAAAAAGTTAAAAAAAAAAGAAAATCAAGCTTGACGCGTTGATATCTCAACAACATCAACAAAAAATCACCTTTAAACTTGATTCCTGTCTCGCCATACTGGCTTCGAATTAGTCCACCCCCCACCCCTCCGCGCAAAGAAAAAACAAGTTTCACGAAGACCTAACACACTGCAGTATCTGCACAAACACACAAAGTGTACACAGTCCCGGCTGGCTAAATTAGCACACAGACACACATACATACATACATACATACATACATACATACATACATACATACATACATACATACATACATACATACATACACACATATATTGGCCTACATACATATACACACATACTTACACATACAAACACAAACATAAATACGCACACTTAGTCCAAGTGCTTAGAACAACAATTTAAATTTACATTCAATTCATTGAATTTCTGTTAAAGTCTGTCAGTGTATGTGTACAATTGAGTGTGTAGGCAGGTTGATAAAATACACATACAGATATAGAATGTTACATGGGACGGCGTGGTCTAGCTGTAGAGCACTAGACGATAACCCTAAAGTTTCGAGTACGAAACTGGGTTCATGTCTGTGGAACGTCCACCCACTTGAAATTTTTTTTTTGGGGGGGGGGGGGGGCGATGAATCGTTAGGTCTAAAGATGAATCTTTAGATTATATAGAACAGTCGACATAAATGACTGTATACATGCAGAAGCTTAACTGGGAAGTTATAAACATATTTCGACCCCCCCCCCCCACCCGATCTCCTTATCTATTATCAGATACGTCACCGACCCAAACAATCATTATAGTCTACAAACAGAAATGTAGGTGACAAGTTTAAAATGTGTGACGTGGGGTTTACTCAAACACGGTTTCCGTGAGTCACCCGGTGGCTTTACACTACCCCTGAAACATCCGTCCCCAAATTTGGTCAGGTCAGGGTGACCTTTCAGACGGGTAAGGTCCAGGTAAGGCAGAGCCGACAGTTATATAATCTATTTTTTCCTAGGGCAACCTTATTCTAACAACTGTAGCTATCATAATAAAGGCATGTTTTATTTTAGCTATAAAATATAGTGATGATGGTGAAGGTTGACAATGACAAGTAAAAGTTCTCCTTCCGGACCTACATAGTGCAGGTGAAGTAGAGTTTATCTGTTTTTTTTTATCACGGCATGTGAAGAGATGTTAGCTTAATGCCCAGTCGCCTTTACACTTCTTTATATGAGTAAGGTAGCCTACTCATCAAAGCTCGGTTGACGCAGGGACACCTACAGACTGGAGTCTAAGATCCAAACTCAATATTTTGAGTTAGAAGTCGAGCACCCGACCACACCGTTCCAATACTAACGTAGACTATTCATGAAATATCACACGGTGTGTGAAGGTATGTGGTGTAAGCACCAAGATGGACAACACGCTGGTGTGTACTCACCCTTGATGCATTCTGCACGGTAATCACAATTACATCCTGGTTGTGAGCCTTGACTGATACATAAACAATCCTTGGAGCAGCGGTTGTCTACGTCACAAATTTCCACTGGGTAGTCCTGTACACCTTTACCTTCAAGCATTTTCGCCCTGCATTAGATAAACATTTCATATATAGGTATATATATATATATATATATATATATATATATATATATATATATATATATATATATATATACTCTTTATTAAGTATGTACATCTGAACACTCATCATACAATTACAGTAGACACACAGAGAGAGCGAGAGTGAGAGCTAGAGAGATTAAAGGGTAGTTCGGATCATTTTGGAGCTAACCAACTACTCAGATAGGAGCAGTACCCAAATAGACCAGCATAAACCGTACCCTACAAGACAAGCAGACAAGACTATAAATAAGACTGGAACATTACCAGAGTTTATTCCAGGCATCTCTTTGGGGAGGGGTGGGGGCGAAAAAAAAGTCTCCGCCCCCCCCCCCCCTCCCCCGGAAGGAATGGATTTTATATCTAGAGAAAACAAATACTTTTACAAATGTCCGCCCACGCCCCGAAAAATGTTATCCGCCCATCGAAAATATCATGTGTCTCCCCCCCCTTCCCCGGAGAAAAAAGTCTGGAAGTACAAGTGGAAAAAACATTGAACACTGCACAACAAAATAAGACTGAAAGACCTTATCTAGGAGCAGTACCCAACTAGACCATCACAAGCAGTACCCAACTAGACCATCTCAAGCAGTACATTTACTAGACCACCTCAAGCAGTACCCAACTAGACCATCTCAAGCAGTACCCAACTAGACCAACTCAAACAGTACCCAACTAGACTACCTCAAGCAGTACCCAACTAGACCATCTCAAGCATTACCCAACTCCTCAGCTAGGAGCAGTACCCAACTACTCAGCTAGGAGCAGTACCCAACTAGACCATCACAAGCATTACCCAAACTACTCAGCTAGGAGCAGTACCCAACTAGACCATCACAAGCATTACCCAACTACTCAGCTAGGAGCAGTACCTTTACTAGACCACCTCAAGCAGTTCCCAACTAAACCACCTCAAGCAATACCCAACTAAACCACCTCAAGCAATACCCAACTAGACCACCTCAAGCAGTACCCAACTAGACCATCTCAAACAGTACCCCCAGTACTCAGCTAGAAGCAGTACCCAACTAGACCACCTCAAGCAGTACCCAACTAGACCACCTCAAGCAGTACCCAACTAGACCACCTCAAGAAGTACCCCCAGTACTCAGCTAGAAGCAGTACCCAACTAGACCACCTCAAGCAGTACCCAACTAGACCACCTCAAGCAGTACCCAACTAGACCACCTCAAGAAGTACCCCCAGTACTCAGCTAGAAGCAGTACCCAACTAGACCACCTCAAGCAGTACCCAACTAGACCACCTCAAACAGTACCCAACTAGACCACCTCAAGCAGTACCCAACTAGACCACCTCAAGCAGTACCCAACAAGACTACCTCAAGCAGTACCCAACTAGACTACCTCAAGCAGTACCCAACTAGACCACCTCAAGCAGTACCCAACTAGACCACCTCAAGCAGTACCCAACTAGACCACCTCAAGCAGTACCCAACTAGACTACCTCAAGCAGTACCCAACTAGACCATCACAAGCAGTACCCAACTACTCAGCTAGGAGCAGTACCCAACTCCTCATCTAGGAGCAGTACCTTTACTAGACCACCTCAAGCAGTACCCAACTAGACCATCATACGCAGTACCCCAACTCCTCATCTAGGAGCAGTACTGACCTAGCAGGCAGACAGGAGCAGTTGAAGTAGATGACGTTCCTCATCTCCCCGTTAAAGACGGAGGCCCTGAGGTTTGAGGGTAGCACGCTCTGGGACAGGCTCTGGTTGTAGTCCCGGGGCAGGCCGCCAAAGTACACGTAGTTGTTGGTGTCCAGGTGCTCGCCGAAGCTGAAGTCTGACCCAAACGCCACCTGGGGGTGGGGGAGAGAGGCTGGCGTTATTGGGTGCACATAGTTCATTAGGGTCGTTAGTAAACTATACTTGTAACTCGGGAATAGGAGGGCATTCAATTATGTATTATTTGAAAAGGAAAGGATCTCAAACACAAAATTGAAATTTGAAAGTTAGTGTTTACTTCTAATAAACAGTGAAAACAAAATTTAAATTATTTAATCGCTTTTTACAAGCTTTAATTTTTTTTTATATATTTAAAGTAACCGCAGCTTTATTATATTTTTTAAAATTATTTTATATTTAATACAAATTTAATTATTTTCTTCTTTTTAGTGCATTTACAAAAGCTTGTAAATATAAACGTTTTTATGTATTTATTATGTTTTAGTCAAATCACTAACTGCGCTGGTTAAAATAAAAAAAAATAAATAATCAGCCATGTCCGATAACTCGGGTGATGCCGCAACAGCTGGATTACCTACCCTGCTCTCCTGACTGTTGTCTACCGTCATGATGGTCTCCATCCGGTTCCGCCTGACCTGCACGTTGTGCCACTGGCCGTTGTTCAGGTTCCTGCCCAAGGTCATTGTGACATTCTGATAGTTCTCTCGGACAAAGTTAATCCAGAGCTGAACGGTGCCATCAATCAAGGCCACCTGGAGAAGGAAGGTCATGTTCATTAATTTTAATTAATGAGATGGGACAGCAATTATATTTATCATCATCTTTTCCCGTTCGTACCCTAGACACATGAGGTATAATGTGCATTGTTTCTTCTAGACTTTTTTTTCTCGGGCGGACAACATTTTCTAGGGGGGTGGGGATATTGGTAAAAGTATATGTTTTCTATATAAATTCCATTTCGATGGGGGGGGGGGGACACGACAAAGAGCCCTCCCCCCTTATGATATGCCGGGAAGAAACTCAGATAGTGTGGTCAGCAAAATGCTCAACCGTCTTAGTTTCCCTAACGTGAATAAGATAATCATTGAGAAGCTGGGTGATTTCGCGGACGTGCTACATAATCGGGCCAAGGATTCGAACTTTACTTTTAGGGTTAGCAGGATTCGCTCTGCCATCCGACCACGCCGTTCCGCAGTTGGATTGTGTGTAGATCTTTATTCGGCAAACTAATACAGGAAGTTTACTGTCCTCCATTTTTAAATCCCTTTTATTTTTTTATTTTTTTTATTTCAACTCTGAATGTGAGTAACATTCCCACCCCCTTCTGCACCTCCCACACATATAATATTGGTGCTCATTTGCATCTGAGTATTACGGTTACCTGAGAACCACTCACCTATAACTAGTTCGTACAATAACGCCAGGTATATTTCAAAAGTATTTTAACATTAAAATGTACATTATTGTTTTCCTTATCAAACCAGTATGGAATGTATAATTAGCACAAAATCCTGCTTCTGAGTTACATAAACAAGTATTTCCTGAGAGATAGGAGCCTGCCAGTTCTGTTTCGTCGAGGAATGTCAGAGTTTAAACACAAGCAAACTCCTGCCAAGAATGTGTTTGTGCGGGTATAAAAACTCGAGCCTATATACACCTGCGTTAATGCTTCGAGGGGAGGTTTATATTGATGTGCTTAATGAATCCATTAGGCAAAGATCTAGTACACACGTTTCAAACGTTGAGTCAATGGTGCTGGGCGAAACGGTCGCGTCATCAAGGATACATCAAGATACTCTTGTTAATAAAGACGTTTCGTTTATTGGTAAAGTTGCTGATGCACGGGATATAAGTAGCATCGTATGATATTTATGATGTAAAGTGAAGTTCCATGTGCCAAGTGCAGTAGAGTTTACCTGTGGTCCAGTCGCCTTTACTTTCTCTAACGTGAGTTAGGTACCCATCTGAGCAAGGTGGACTAAGGGACATTCTAGTGAATTGAACCCGTATTCGAACTCGAGACTTTCGGGTTAGCAGTCTAACGCTCCACCGCTAAGCCACGCCGTCCAATCTGTACGATGACGGGGTACTCAGACCCAGAGGCGTAGCGAGGGGGTACAGGGGGTGCGGACCGCACCGGGTGACACCATTTAGGGGGTGACACCAAGGCAAAAAATAGCAAATCATATAGAGAAAAATGATAATTCCCAGTTAATTAAGTGATTAATTCGAGTCTTTTAAGAGGTGCAAATCGAAAGTTTAAGGGGGGGGGGGTGCAAATAGAAAATTGAAAGTTTGTCCCCGGGAAGGGTCGCTACACCATTAAGTGCCGCACCGGCAGACACCCGACCTCGCTACGCCACTACTCAGACCTGCTACCAACCAACCCATGGGCACATTGATGAAGATGTTTAATAGGAACAAGCCCACGCATCACGTTTGGCTGGTGCGAACATATTTTTATATTGAAAATATTTTTATCAGCATTCTTTCATATTGCCTATAAACGCAATGCCCGTTCCGTTTTCATTAAGATTAAAACCTGTTTTTTGGAGGTTTAAGGTTCACCAACTTCTATAATAAAGACATATTTGATGGGACGTCTTGTGTGGCCGGATGTTGTAATGTAAGACAACCGCCAATATTGCGTGCAGCAAGTTAAAAGAACACTTACATAAAGCATTGAGCGAGGGTCATATCGGAGCTTACAAGAAAACCTGTATATCGGCCTATACAAAATCACAGACACTAGATTTACTACCGGTGACTCAATGGCTTTCACAAACACCGCCTACTCTTCTAAAAATAAAAATGAATTCGGCATTTTTTTTTTAAATCGACTCAATGCTTACACAAACGCCGCCTACTCTTACCACCCATTAAAAAAAACGCATTCGGCATTTTTATAATCGACTCAATACTTTTCTAACACCGCCTACTCGATAGTCTACATTTTTAAAAGTCGACTCAATGCTTAAATAAAAATTATAACTGGACGCTTACAAAAGCTATAGGCTATTTTCTTACAGAAAGCGCTTATTTAATTCACACACCGTACCGTAATAGTTGACATTGTATTTAAGTTGTAATTTACCACCAAACAATCATGTAATAGTTCGACAAGGTACTTTAACAATCTCTTATCACTCGGTCAATATGTGCATTGCGACCCCCCCCTCCCCCCCCCCCACACACACACATAAATCCCCTCATACATTCATAAAATATATTGATAACTGGTCTACAAAAGAACTGACAACACATGTTAGTGTGTTAACTGGTGTACAGAAGAACACACGGACAACACATGTCAACGTGTGCTCCAACACGACCCATGGCCTACAATTTCCAGTTTAAACACGGCGCTTCAATAGACGGGAGGAATCTCTAAACCAACACGGACACAAACATCCATTGTTAAAGTTGTAACTATAACCCTTTCGTTCATAGAAATCACTTGCCGCAGTCATAACTGAAATCAATAGCAACAAACATCCAAGTTTGAACTTAGAACCAAAAGATAAAGTTTAAAATAATCAAACCAATGTGTTTTTGGTTGGAATAATAAACAGTTACAATATTTCGTCACTGAGCAAACTCAGCCTAATTTGGTACTCAATCTAATGCTCAATGATTTAGCCGTTTATGCCTTTTAATGAATAGGAGGCAACAGATGGTCAGCTTGACCTGTAGTTAATCAGGGATAGATACGCTCCACTGGTTTTATCACTGAACCAACCGGTTCAGCCAATAAAATTTTGTAAAATTTCGAATACCTGTCCATCCCCTACCCAGAGGCGTAGCGACACCTCCCGGCGCCCGGGAACAAACTTTCGATTTGGCGGCCCCCCCCCCTATATTTTTTTATATTTATAATTCAAAATAGCAGCTAAAATGAGCTTATTTTGGCGCCCCTAGGGTCGGCGCCCGGGGACATATGCCCCCCGGTCGCTACGCCTCTGCCCCTACCCCATATATTATGTACGTCTACCTACGTAGATTACTTATAATTCGCAGTAAGTTAAGTCAATAACACACTTCTTCTTCGTCGTTATATATTTGATATTTGAGGGAATTTCTTCCAATAAAACTAATTATTACGTGTAACCTTAGTATGCCACGTATGGTCGTTTGACTCCTTCTGCAGACTGTTTTTCTTTTAGGATTTGCTCCCAAATTTGTCCACACAAAAATTGTCCATATGGCGGAATTTGTTTGATTTGGGAGTTTTTTTTTCTCCTAGAGGGGTTGATGTATCCTGGTTGGATTTCGAACTCAGGACTTTTAACAGTATTGCACCTTCGCCGGCTCACGTGCCCCCCCCCCCCCCCCCCCCCCCCTCCAACCCTCAGGCCAGCCAATAGCATGTTCTGTGTGTGTACTATTTTGCATTCTCTGCCCACTTCCTATCATTTACATGTGTCCCATGCAATCTATTTATTGGCTTAAGCTATGTGGACAAAGCGGTAGAAAACCAATTGAAACAAAGGGCTGGTTGTATATTTCAATATACCGTTCTGTAGTACACAAAATGGGATTGCATGAGCTAGTGGTAGAGCACTATACTGCTAACCCAAAGTCTCCATTGCAAATCCGGGTTCAAGTCAGCAGTACGTCCCTGAGTCCTCCCAGCTCTCATAGGTACCTTACCCACGTTTAGGAAAAGTAAAGGCGGCTGGGCATTGTGCTGACCACACTATCTTTTCATATGCAGAGGTCACATAAACAGGTGAATTCTACTTCACTTGCACATAACCTTAACTCAGGGTACATAAGCAACCCAATAGACAACCCACTGAAACAAAGGCATGGTTGCGTAAATCAATATGCCGTTATGTAATACATAAACCAACAGCCCTTAACACACACTAAACGATCATATTTTGACATCTCTTGAAAGACTTTTATCTTTGATTACCAGCTAATTACCCGCACTCAAGATAATAAAAACTACCACGGATTATCGTACACACAAAACGGTTGAGTTATTTAAGATCTTTCAGCTAACATAGAGCCACCACAGGCAGGAGAGGATAAGCCTGTAGAACCGGTTGTGTCTTTCAGTATAGTTGGCTGACATCTCAAGTATTTTCTGGTAGCCCAGACAAGACGACACTACGGAATTCGTTTGTTCTTTTAATCAGGCTCGCCTCCGCAGTGATCATTAAAGTGGTTGTATTACTGTTGACGTATATACGCATAATATACACAGTAACACACGGACGTATTGAGGAGTGTACCAAGGAGTTCATACTTGATTTAATCTTGTTATAAAATTACCCTTTAGGGTAGACGAAGTAGAGTTCAACCGTTTTTAAGACATCGGTACATGAAAGAATAGCGTGGTTTCCATTACGTCTAACCGCCTTTACTTTCCGTAACGTGAATCAGCTACGCATCACATAAACAATAAATGCATCTTATTATATCGTAATTTAATCTATATAATTACAAATGTCATCACAAGCTAAAAGGCGTATAGGTTAAGCCCCAAGCCCCTTCCCAACGAAAAATAATGTAATTGATACAGAAAATGTATAGGCCTACTTGTACTAATGTCTGCCCACTCCCCCACAATAAATTCCGGCCCCCGAAAGTTTCAAGTTCCCCCACCCCCGGAGAAATATGTCTGTAAGAAACTTTGCTGTCAACGTAGAAAACGAATCTAAAATATAACTAGAACTACTTAGTAGTGAAATGCTGATATTTCGGGTGGTGGTCGAATGACCTATGGGTTTTGTTACTGTGACTTTGGCGATTTTTACCTGAGTCGGTTTGAAGCGATGACGTCACACGGCAATACAAAGTCAAGTACGGAAAATACGGCAGGTGACGTAGAACTCGTCTGATTCTGTCATCTCAACATATTGAGAGTGCGTCTAATACCACACAATGCAAAAACACCCTAACTTAACCCAATTACCGACAGGTACCTATTAGAGCTGGGTGGACACAGTATTTTCTCATTGATTGAGTCAGGCATACACATTGGTGAGGTTTTTATTTGATTAACTCGCAAATGGTTGAGCCTGCCGTTACAGTCGGTATTATAATTTAGGCATCTGTTGTCTTGTCTGTTATGTGTTTTAGGTAGCTGCCTTTGTTTTCAGTTATATTATGATTTAGGAAACTGTCTATTGTAAGTAAAATGATTTAGGCAACTGTCGTTATTGAAAGTAATATGATTTAGGCAATTGTCTTTATTGTAAGTAACATGATTTAGGCAACTGTCGTTATTGAAAGTAATATGTTTTAGGCAACTGTCTTTATTGTAAGTAAAATGATTTAGGTAAGTATATTTTTTTGCAGTAATGCGATTTACTTAGCTGCCGTTATATTAAGATAAATGATTTAGGCAATGATATGATGTATAGAACACTTTATTTTTAGTGATATATAACCAACTTTCGTTATTTTCAATAATATGATAAGATTTATACAGCTGTCGTTATATTCAGTAATATGATATAGGCAACTCTTTATTTGCAGTGATTCCCCGCTAAGATTTAGGCAGCTATCGTTATGTTCAGTGATATGATATATGCAGCTCGTTATTCTCAGTGATATGATGAGATTTATACATCTGTCGTTATATACAGTAACATGATATAGGCCTACGTACCTGCAGGTAATCGAACCTGCCGTTATCATCAGTGTACATCAACAAGGCATTGGGCTGGGTGGTCTTGAAGTCGAACTGGATTGAAGCGTTGGTGCAGGCGTCCCATTTGGGGTACTTGGCGTAGGTCTCCCGCACCCCGTCAAAAGTGATGGCGCAGCACGGGTACACGAACACACACACAAACACACAGGTAATCCACACAATGTTCCAGGTGTTCAGCGGTGGGTGGGTTAATCCTCTGGAGTTTTTCCTGTCTGCGCCAGGATTGAAACCTGGGCAGGCCATGCTGACCGGTACGGTGTTATCCTTTTTCTATGGGGTTAGCGGTAATCCTTTGAATGTAATCCTTAATCCTATACTTTAATAGTCGTCATCGGGAATATCCGCTAGTTGTTATGAAGTAATCTACTTGTTAATCCCTCTTTGCCTTAACTCCTGTAAAAGATAATTTTAATTTAAAATGGTATGTAGTGTATTTAAATATTAAAACAATTAGAGACACTACTAATAAATCAATAAATGGACAATCGATTTACACTATATATATATTATCACAGTTTTTAAACATAACCCTGAAAGATGTTAACAACTGTTAAAATAATTAGATTGAAAAATCACCTTTCTCTAAAGTTTAGTATTCTTAAAAAAATGTTAAGAAGTGGAAAACAAATTCTTGATTGCCATGCATGTTGGGCAATGACCACTTGGTGCATTCATTTACCGGATACATTCCAAAACCGTGCATAAACAAACAACTCAGTCAGTTTCTTTCTGGCATCTTTTTGGGGAAGAGGGGGGGGGGCGAATCCGAGCACCCCCTTCACAGAACGACGAAAAAAAAACTGATATAGAAAATAAATTCTTTAATAGGTGTCTGCTACCCTCCCCCCTCCCCCCAACGAAAAAAAAAATGTCTGAAAGAAACACTGGTAATATTCGTTACTTCATTACTACGATTCACCAACCACCAACGATACTGACAGCAACATTATGCACCATTCATTATCGCGATACTAACATACGTGAGACCATTAAGGTATAAGAAAATGTATGACAACATTTTGCAAGGTAAATTCTATCGATACTAACAGACGTGGGATACTGAAAGTGTAAAATATTGAATGACAGCAACATTGTGCACCATAAATTCTCGCGATATTAGCATACAGTGAGACACTCAAAGTGTAAGAACATTGAATGACAGCACTCGAGCGAATCTGGGTCGAAGGTCATTCAGTTACGATTTCAGTAATCGAATCCTGACAGCCCGATACTGCGGGTAGCAAGCGATGAATTCTTGTCCCACGGACCGTGAATAGTACGGCACAGTTTGTCGTTTGTGTTGTATGAAAAGGCGAGGAGAATTGAATATAAGTGAATATGGGAATCTTACACTGCCTGTTTATACAATGAATTATGTGTGAATCATACATAATAACCTCGCTGACAGTTGAAGTCAGTGTATCTGTCAGATATTTGTCTGTAGGGGGAGAGGGTTACTCGAGAGTTCGGCTGGGGGGGGGGGGGGGGGGGGTGGACTATTCATTACATAATATATTATTTTTTTTAAATTAATATTTTACTTTCGATTATGTTTGGGGGTGGGGGGGGGGGGTTGGCACTTGAAAGTATGGCGAGTGGTGCAGGGGGGGTGGGGGTAGACTGTTCATTACAGAATATATTCTCTATTTAAATTAACTATCGTGGGGTGGGGGGGGGGGTGTTGGGCACTTGAAAGTATGCCAAGTACTAGGAAGGAGGGGGTGTACTATTCATTACATAATATATTGTCTATTAAAATTTATTTTCGCTTCGATTACATCCGGTGCGATGGGTGTGGAGCACCCTGTAGGTGTGCGGGGCACCCTGTAGAAATGCCTGAAAGAAACACTGTCAAGATGTCAGCCTTAACCACAGTTAGTGGTGCGGAAAGTGTTGTCGAGTGTAACACTATTTGTAATGTGTTGTTTATTTTCTCCGTGTGATGACGCATTTGTATACATTCCATTTTTTAAAGATCAAAATAGGAACACCGCACCTTAACATTAATTAAAAAGGTACTGCGTAAATAAAACAAGGTTGGGTATAAGGTTAGGTGGGACGGCGTGACCTGAGCGATAGAGCGCTAGACTGCTAACCCGAAAGTCTCGAGTTCGATTCCAGGTCCAAATCAATAGAACGTCCCTGAGTGCACACAGCTGTGATGGGTACCTAACTCACGTTAGGGAAAATAAAGGCGGCTGGGCAAAGTGCTGACCAAGCCTTCCTTCAAATGCCAAGGTTATTATAAACATAACTCCAATTCATCTGCCAATGGATATCTAGTTATAAAGATGTTAAAAGTATATATTTTTCATATAACATATTTCGTTGGGGATGGTGTGTGTGTGTGGTTGGGGGGGCAAGAAGAGATGCCTAGAAGAAACTCTAATAAATGGAATCTGGAGCTAAAGACACTAGACTATACCCACACCATTGTATCAAAGCACTACCAACTCACAGCTGATCCACTACAGCACCACAACAGGACATCTTATGTTCTTTAATCATAACGCAAACCCCGACCCTATCCCTTAATCTGACTACAATAATTTCACGCACACATATAATAACAAAGAAAAAAGCGATTATGTTGTGTATTGTATTGGCAGCGTATTATATATATATATATATATATATATATATATATATATATATATATATATATATATATATATATATATATATATACTACTGTGAGTCACGAATTCAACGTGTATTGTCTTGTAACACACGTTGAAACTTTGAACCACGCCAGCTGTCACCGTGTATCGTTTCACATGTGACAACTCGAGAATAAATTTACACCTAGAACACAGCCAATGGCTTTGTCAAGATAATATTTTATGCGTTTATAACAATAACAATAACGAATTAATGAACGTATAAAACAGGTTTAAACATATTCGTATTGATCAGTTGCTCCTAAATACTTGTGTTGTAAGCATCGCATATAAGTATAAGAAACTCAATCCAAGCTTGATATTAACGGATTAAGGCGTTCAACTAACTCAAATTGACAATGTCTACTTTTGCAGAACGTGCGATACGCCTATCTGTATATGGATATGGCTAATTAAAACAAAGAACTTATCAAACTGCAATTTAAAAGTAAACACAAGTTCGCTTAAGGTTATGGTTAACGGGTAGTTTCTACAGATCCGCCTAATTATTTTATACGGATTAGGCCTAATAACATTATAATAATTAAAACTACTTTTAAATAACTCCAAATTGTTTGGGAAAAGAAATAATGACTAAAGTAAAAAATAAAAAACAACTCACCCTATGGTACTAGTTACAGTTAGTGAATTAGTGTTTGTATTCCCAAAGCAATTAGCAAAGGTAGCTCTAATTAAAACAAATACAACACAAATATTGGACAGCTGCTCTAACTACAGACGACTCCTGGCAAATAGAAGAGAGCGATACACTACAATTATTTATAGCTGCGCGACATTCCGCTGTCCCCCCAATTTTCATTCAGACGTTAAAGTTGAACTGTCCCACCCACGACTGGGTCGTCTGCTACATTTTAAAGAGGTTCAACCATCCCGTCTGCTTGATGAACTGTTACACAACGCAGGCGAGGCAGTGCAAACAGTGGCTGTCCGTTGTGTGGGGCACAAGCACGTAGGCGGAGAGTAGTGATACGTTTCTGCTAATCAAGTAATTGCGCGTAATCAGTCAACCATTAACCTCATAATCGAATAGCTGGAAAACGTCAGTATCGATACTCAAAAGCCTACACCAATCCAATAACCATCGCCTGAATCCAAATTGGGTCTAAGCTTTTACAAACAGCTGATTTAGCATGAGTAGCAGTGTGTGTGTGTGTATAATGTGGTGAAAGGTGTGCCCCCTCCCACACCCTCCCGCATCCAAGTAGAAATCAATAAAAAAAAATATTTTTCGTATTTATAATTGAAATATTGAATGTACTCCTACTATTGTTCAGCTATGTGTCTTCTCATTATCTCTTAATTTATAGGCTACAACAGTGGCGTAGGCAGGGGGGGGGGGTTAGAAGGGGTCATAACCCCCCCCCCCCCCCCCATAGACCCCTCGGTATATAGAAAAAGTATGAGGGGGGGTGCAAATCGAAAGTTTGAGGGGGGTGCAAATCGAAAGTTTGTCCCCGGGTAAAAATTGGAACCCCCCCCCCCCTTGAGACGATCCTGGCTACGCCACTGGGCTACAATATAGGCCTGTTGGTACAGGTATGGGCCGTCTTAATCCCACCTTCCCCTTTTCTCGATACCTCCACACAATAAGAGATTAAATTGGCTTATGGCATAATGCCATTAAATAAAAGGCGTATGGCCTTATACCGTTAAATAATAGATGTAAACACATTTCTCCTAAAAATTATGTACTGTATAAATGACGAATACATGGGAGAGACTGCTTCATGTGTTTGTTAAAGAAAACAAGAAACAATTTCATGAAATGCAGTTCACTATTAGTAGGCTAAATACTCTCAGTTATCAAATAGATCTATCTGAAGCCTACCTTGCTTAGTAGCAATATTCACTACTCGGAGAATATCGGGTATTACATTTTGTCTTGCTAGTGATTGTTACATCACTGGGTCTATCTAATTTAACATCAGGTGAACTAAAAGCCAGTATAATTATTGAGCTCAGTAAAAGTACAGCCTTCCAAACTATAAAACTTCATAGAGGTTTTTTTTCAGAGATCGTTTAAAGTCAAAATTATTTTTAAGGCTACAGTGGAGTTGATAGATCTAGTTGCTAGATTTCTATGTTAATGCTAGTGGTAGTGCAGTCAAGATCTGGAAATAAAACCCTACCCTAGGCTGTATCCGCTATAGATCTAGATCTTGAAAATTAAATAAATATTTAATATTGATCTTTAGACTATTGCCTATGTACTATGTAATGTATGCATTCGTTGAAACGCAAGGCTACATTTCCCCCAGTATTTTTTAACAATGGAACCTACTTACTTACTAGATCTAGTCTAGATATCTAGATCTAGTACTTACTGACTAAACTAAACTTGCTTAACTTGAATCAGGCTAAACGCAAACAGCTTAACTGACGTACACGCAAAAAAAAATTCTGTTATTTCATTCAGTGTCCTTACTAGATCTACTACCTTTCTAACTTTTTGTTTTCCTTTTTACTTTTTAGTGTTTTGGCCTTTTTGTTTAAAATCGAAAGACTTCCCTACTAGATCCAAATCTTAATCTATTAAATCCAATCAGATGCAATCTTCTTTACTTTCTTTAGCATTTAAAAATGTGTTTAAACAGGTATAAAATTTGTCTCACCTTTATCCAGAAAGCAACAATCAGCTTTCTTCTAAATCCACAGAAAAATAACACAACACACCCGGCAACGGACGCTACCGGTTTTCCACACACGAACACGGCCGTGCAGTCCCAGCACGGTGTTTCCCTCGCACACCGGTAGATTGAGCCCTCCGTTGCACGAGACTGCGCCTCGTTGCTAGTCGATGCGTAAACTAAACCAGCCAATCAATTCTCCTCTCGCTCGATAGGTCAGAATCGGAAATTCAAACTTTTCGGGCTAAATATAGACCTAGCATCTTTTAATTGAAACTCTAAATTCGATCAGTGTTTTTGTTAAGTAAATAAGTTATTTTAGTTATATAAGTTAATAATATTTAACTTTGTTTATGTTTTAGTATTAAAAATAAAATGTAGTCTAACGTGAAACAGGTAAACTAAAGGGAATGAGTTACTGTCGAGTTGTCGAACCTGTCCTTCCTGAAAATGAAAGAGTAGCGGGCCCTGGCCTGGTGGGGAATTATCAATTTGTCACACATTTTTCAATACGACCAGTAACGCGAGAGGAATTCAAGTGCAATGGACCATGAAATTGCGTCAGTGTTACCGTTAGCGTTGTATGAGTAGGCGTAGAGAAATCGGATATGAGTCGACATGTGAATCCTCTATTATCTGCTAATAAGATTCAGGGACAGAGTTTCTTTTAGGAATCGCCCCCGTTCCCCGTATCATGTTTACCTTCCCCGACCCGAACGAGAAAAAAAAAATAACATAATTGATATAGAAAATATACACAAACCAGAGTCAGTCAGCCCCCACCCACCGTAAAGCTCCCCCCTCTCCCATACACCACGCCCCCCAACCCCACCCCTATACGATGTCTAAGCGTCCTTCTCACGAGTCTTTTCTTTTGGATATCGTGGCATTTAGACAAGTCGTGTTTTCACTGTCGAGCTAAGTCCAAAATTGTGGTACTGTTTGTCTTTTCTGTCTAATCTGTAACCACACTGTTTTGTGCTGACGAAGACCTTGGGTCGAAACGTCCATAGTACTTGTAACTGTCTTTAACTTGTGAGGTAACTAAACTACATGTTTTATTACTCATACCCGGAAGTTTCAAGACCCCCCCCCCTCCTTCTCCCGTACCGAAAAAAATATGAAAGAAATCCTATACAGGGTATGGATATTTGAATCATGCTAAACATGTAAAGATTGATATCTTGAATAGATCCTACAGAAACCGTGTATCACATATCATCTTAAATCATAATCCCTGTGTATAATAAAGTGCCTTTTTTTTAGCCTGACGGTCGGGGTTAAATGAAGTAGAGTTCACCTGTTTCAGTGACCGCGGCTTATGAAGGGATAGAGTGGTCAGCACTATGCACAGCCGCCTTTACTTTCCCTAATGTGAGTTAGGTACCCATCAGAGCTGGGTGGACTAGAGACATGAACCAAAACTTCGTTTTAAAACACACATACATAGTTCATAGTTAAAATAAATTCAAATAGGCCTAATCAGGCCTACAATGCAATCGTTTTATTTCATTATTTCAAGAATCATTAAATACAATGTAGGATTATATCGACACATACTTTTTGCAAACAAAATAATTAAAAAATTAAAATAAAAAATGGTAAAATAGTAGAGAGTGACAAATTGTTCTATGGTTAGGATTACGTTGTAGCTATTCCACATATACTCTTGAATAACGTTTGAGATACAATCAGTTAAGGCTATCTTCGAGTACCCAGACTTACAAAGTCTAATGCTGTATACAATTTTATAAAATTACATTTTTTGACGTCATTTTTCTTCTTCTACATATATGTTCTCAATCGTGATGTTAGACGGTATTTCCTCCAACACAATGAAGTATTACGTGTCAATATGCTGTGCCCCATGCTGTGCGCTGTTGACTCTGATTTCAGCCTTTCTTTTTCTAGATTAGTTACCATAGGCAGACAGTTGTAGCAGTTGTTAGATAGGTTTCTGCCCCAGTGGCGTAGCGAGATCGGGTGTCACCCGGTGCGGCACTTAATGGTGCCCCCCCCCCCCCCTCAAACTACTATTTGCACCCCACCCCCCTCAAACTTTCGATTTCCACCCCCCCCCCCCCCTCAAACTTTCGATTTGCACCCCCCGCCCTCAAACTTTCGATTTCCACCCCCTCCCCTCAAACTTTCGATTTGCACTTCTTAAAACACTATTTAACACTCGAATTAATCACTTAATTAAGTGAAATAATTATTATCATTTTTCTCTATATATTTTGCTATTTTTTGCCTTGGTGTCACCCCCCTAACTGGTGTCACCCGGTGCGGTCCGCACCCCCGCCCCCCCCCCCCTCGCTACGCCTCAGTTCTGCCCAATCTATCAAGCCTACGTCATTTAAATTGTAAGATATTTTTTTTTGATGGACAGATTTGTTGCTGCCCTATACTCCACAGTGAGTGACGAGGATTTAATTAAGTAAGTTTAAAACACTCTTTTGTTTATTTATTTTAAATTTCTTGAAGGCTAAAAACATTATTAATCCAGGGGCAACAACTCAAGAAATTCTTTTACCGGGGAAATTTAAACAACCAACCAGTTATTGCTGCTTGTTGTAGAGTACCAAGATAATTGTAAATAGCATTAATACTTGTTTAATTATTTAATGCTAATTTCGTTTTTAAATTCGATAAATCGAATAAAATACTTAAACAAATTATACTTAGCTATGTATTTAATTAAAACATAACACGCGTGCATGTTAAACATTTCTTCTAACAACATTTTTACCTACAGGTATTCAAGAAGCATTCCTAAGTGTCTGAAGTCTGTTAACATTTATATTGTAAAATTCTTATAAATGTTTTATTAGATTTAATTAATAGTGGCATTCGGTGTTGTTTATCCTCTGTTTAGTATAAAGATGCTTAGCTAGTTTTTAACAGAATCTATTTGAATCTACAGTGACGTAGCAGGAATTTGTTGTGGAGAGGGGTGTTAATAAAATTATATTTCAAAATATATGACATGAATCGCTGTGAGACTTCTCATTTTCGGGGTCTTTGGGGATGGGGATTCAAACATGCCCCTATCTACACCACTGGTGATCTGGGAGATCTTTAAGAATTGCTGAGATATGTGATATTTGTTGAATTAATTTTTCATTTGCTTGTAAAAAAAATTAATTGTTTTATAATCATTAAAAAAAAAAAAAAAAAAAAAAAAAAAAAAAAAAAAGTAAAATTCTTATAACATTACAATATTATAATATTACAATAATAATTCTTATAATATTAAAAAAAAGTAGGCCTATTCTTAAAATATCAATTGCTTGTTCGGACCATCGGTACGTATACAGGAAAATAATCGCACCTGTTTTTTTATACACTATACATATATTTTACCAGTAATTAATGTCAGTAAACAAGGCTTGAGTATTAGTGACTAGTATTGTGTAGTTATCAAATGTAGTTATACAGAGAGTTATCGATGTTACTTCATTCAACAGCATTATTCTAGAATATCTGTTTTCATTATAGCAGATCACTCCTGCTAGGCGTACACAACCAAAACTAATAAATACAAACATAGAGTACAGAGGCACTAAATCGTTTTGTGTCCAGTGTTTCTTTCAGACCTTTTTCTCCTTGGGGTGGGGGAGCACTTGATATTTTCAGGGGGGTGGGGGCGGACATCGGACTAAATTTTCCGGGAGGGGGGGGGGGGGACGGACGGACGGACACTGGTGAAAGTGTATATTTTCTATATAAAATCGATTTCATTCGGGGAGAGGGGGGATGTTTAAGAAACTCTGTGTCTTATTTTTATGCTTGTGCATTAATATCCTAACTTATTGAAGATCTAGGTCTATTTGTATTTGTATTGCAGGAATTTTTAAACTTCTTGTCGTCTTGTGCTGATCATACATCACTAGTCAGTAGACCAGTGGACAAATGACAGACTTTAGCATTGCTTTTTGTTGGGTCGAGTTGTCCTCAACAACAATCAAGTCGTCTCCCCTGTTGTTTGTTAAAAGCACTACCCGTCTGTGCATCTTAATAAAACTTTAGTAAAACTGCTTCATTGATGTGATTAGTATTGTAAGCAGAGACATTTTACAGGTAAGAAGGCTTTGGAAACTAAACCCAATGCTTACTACACAATACTACGACTGTTACAGTCTTATCTATACTTTATATGAAACGTAAATCACAATACTAAGGCCTTTCTTAACGCAAACGACACATAAATGTGTACCATAAATGTGTACCATAAATGTGTACCATCTGTTTTCTAATCGGCACCACAAATTAATTGTAAACAAAAACTAAACACCTTTTGTCTTGCAACTAATCAAAGAAGTAAACCTAAACTAAGGCATTAAACCCAATTAAAATGCCATTTCAAAAAGTACATTTTAAAACTAGTCAATAAAATGTGAGACAAAAGTGACTGTCAAAAAAAACCTCTTCCCTTTCTTGCCAAAGACACACGGGGAAGATGAAGTAGAGTTTACATGTTTTACTTGTGGTGTAGCTCATGTGTTGTTAGCATTTTGTAATTTTGTTGAGATTTTATTTTGAGAATGTATTTAGTTCCCATGATATCGAGTACACTGACAAAGATCATATGATACAATTATCTCACATCTAGCTTATCTGGATAAATATTACCAATAAGCTGAAGAAACAAGCAGGAATTAGAAAAAAATCGCTAACATTGCGGACCAGAGATTTAGAAATTAGCACAAAAAGTTGGTACAGTGTTGGTTAAATTAACTCACGGTCGGTATATTTTCTATTGGGACGGATGCAGTGTTTCTTCCAGACAGTGGCGTAGCCAGGATCGTCTCAAGGGGGAGGGGCAGGGGGAGGGGGGTTCCAATTTTTACCCGGGGACAAACTTTCGATTTGCACCCCCCCCTCAGACTTTTGATTTGCACCCCCCTCAAACATTCGATTTGCACCCCCTCATACTTTATATATATATCAACCCCCCCCCCGCCACTGTTTCCAGACGTTTTTCTCGGGGGGGGGGCACTTGATATTTTCGGGGGGGGGGGTGGTCTACATTTTCCAGGGGGGGGGGGGGGCGGACACTAGTAAAAGTATATGTTTACTATAGAAATTCCATCTCGTCCGGGAGGGCGGTAGACTTTCTT